GGGGCTTCCGTGGGATCTGATGAAGGGGCGGCCCGTTTTGAGGGTGGGTGGGGAAAGGAGGTGGCCGATGGGGGAGATCCTGGTCCTGGAGCTGTTGTTGAGAGTTTGGTGAAGGCCCGGAAGGTGGTTGTTGGGGAAACAGTCTTGAGGTGTTACTCCTCTGTGGCTGGTTTCTGGATGGCGGCGGTCCAGATTTCTGAGCTCCACAAGCCATTGTTTTTCTTGGATTCATGGTATCCGGCTCCTGTCGGCGTGTCTCTGGTTGTGCCCTGTTATGTAACTGGGGGATAGGTTCATCGATCCGCAGGCTGAATGGCACCTCTTCTCCGACCTGAGATCCGGTCTCATCGGAGAGGTCTTTTTGTTGAGGAACTTGCAGGTGAGAAGGACCTGGCTCAACTCGTCGTTGACGGCTGACGGATGGTTGCTGATATCTGTGGGCTGGACTCTTCATGGGTATCGAATCTTCGATTGAAGCATTTGGCTGTAAGTTCCCAGGTTGCGCCATTTGGTTGAAATGGCTATGGTCTTCTCTGTTCTCGGTGGCTGTTCGGGACTTGTCTGGCTTCTCCTCGTCCAGCGATTGAACCCTCGGGTTGTGCCGTCTTGGCTCTTCACTCCTCGGCTCCTTGGGGTGAATATTGTCGGCCTGATGTTTCATCTGTGATGTTGAAGGTCGAGTATCTGTGATGGCTTGACTCTCTTCGGTTTTCATATCCCCGGCAATAAAGTTGACTCTCGGACTCCCAGATGGCAGCCTTCGGTTAGAACGATTGCGCTCCGCGCTGCCCATAGAGGTTGCTTGATATCCTGTCTCGTCTTTTATCTTCACAGCAGGTACTCTTGGGGGAGCTGGCCTTGCTTCTGGTCTCCCTGGCTCATCCGCTCGAGAGACCTCTAGTTGTTGTTTTGGCTGATCAGTTCGCGATCCTACATCCAAATGAGCCTGACTTTTAGCTGGCTTCACATCTCGGAGGAGGACATCAACCTGCGACCTTCCAGGATATGCCTTTCGATCAGCGTGGTTGTAATCTGTCCTATCCAAAGAAGCGGCATGAACTCTCTCTGCTGCCTCATCCTCCACAGTGACAGCCCTCGGGGGACGTCTTGATCGGCTAGACTCGGATTTCTTTGGATCATCCGACTGAACATTGTTAGTTTCCTTTTTGGGTTGCGTAGCTTGCGGTCTGGGATCTTGAGCGGATCTTGTCTCATTCGAAAGCATGTTTTTGGGCGTTGGGTCTTCTCTTCTCTGGGGATTTGGCATGGGAACCTGTGTCAAGTCCGGGCCATTCCCAGCTTCTGAAGGTAATGTTGTTCGTGGTTCGGGTTTGCGAGAGGATTGGGGGACTTTCAATCGACTGTTGCCAGGGATTTGCTCAGCGACCTCAACTTTCGTATCTCTTTTTACAGATCCTCGAGGACGCCCTCTGTTCGCATCAGGCTTGGTTGAAGGAGCAAGCTTATTCGGAGGTTGATGTGTCTGCTTCGGCTGTATCTCATGATCTGGCTGTTCTTCGCGCTGTCGTTGACCTCTCTTGGCTACTCTTTTACCGACCTGCGGCAGCTGGGGTTGTTTGCTATCGAGTGAACTCTGTCCCTCAGAAAGCGGTTTGATCGGTTTCCTTCTCACTGAGGGACTCTCTGCTCTATCTTTCATAGTGTCTAGAGGAGGTTGCTTAGGTGCCGCCTGTTGGTGTGGAGGGAGAGACCCTGGCATAAACGGACCAGATGAAGCCAGAGTTGACTGCTGCTCTTGATGGCTTACTTGCTTCGATGTTGATAGGGGAGACACCGGGACTTTAGGAAGAGGACGTGGTGGCAGACCGCTGGAGTCACCTCGTGGCTGCGGAACATTGACGGTGAGGTTTTGGATAGGTTTTCTTGGAACAGCCGAGTCTGTTTGAGCTTGTGGCCCCGAGGGAGCAGTCTCTTGAGCAAGCCTTTTTCCCTTTTGGAGAGTCAGGGGGGGTGGCTTGAGTTCAGGATCCATTTTGCGAGGCTTCTTATGTTCAAGGGGCTCCATCCCTGGGTGCTTTGTCGCCTCCTTGGGAGCAGCTTCCTTGGGAACTGAGGCCGTAGGATGGATATCGTCTTGCTGAGTTGCTCTACTGGGCTTCGTTGGTTCTTGGGCCAGAATTTGTGCCCCTTCCTGTAACCTCTGAGGAGCTTTCAATGCTTTCCCTTGCCTTCCGGCCGAGGAGGGAGTTCCATGTGTTGATCCTAACTTTGACGGGCCGGTTGGTGGCTCAAGCCCAGCTCTATTAGGCACCTGGTGCCTCGGGACGTCCCCTGGAGGCTTCTGCGTGGTACTCATAATGATAGAATTTGCGGCTCCGAAGTGTGATTAGGACAGGTACGCTGATGAGACCAGGTTTCCGGGACACTCACCAGCATTGAGACTCCAGCAAGTCGAGTATCAACTGAGCTGACGTCGTTGGGAACATTTAAAAGACCAAAAGAAGAAAATCTCACAATTCCAGGAGAGGTTGAAGGGAGATGCCCCATCAGCCGAATATATTGGTTCTATGGACGACAAAGTTCTGGCGGTTAACTGTCACGAAGCCAGGTGGTTGCCCCTGATGACGGAGCTTGGCTGTGAAGCAGCCCGAGTTGAGACCAGGTCAGACTGGACTGGCACAGATGGGGCTGCATGTTTTACTGCGGTTCGTGGGCGAGAGCAGGATAATGAGTCCGGGATGAAGACAGGCCATTGGCTGTTGACTTAGGCCAACAAGCTTTAAAATGTGAACTCAAGAGGCACTCGGCAGGACACATTTTCAAAAGCATTAGTTGGTGTAAATAGAAGGTCAACATGGCACAGTTAGCCAGGTATAAAACATCAAAGTCATGTTTGAGGGCGGCACGGCAGCCAGAGTCAGCTCCACGGCCTATGAGAGAACCCCCCATCAGCCACCATTCGGGTCGCTTACCCGGCCTCTGTCGGTTAGCTCTGAAACGTTGGAGCAACAAGCTTTTTTTTTTTTCATAGCATTCGATTCTATTGTCCTATGGTAGCTTATAAACGACGATCCCTCGAGATACATGATGCTGGCAAGGCAATTCAGAAAGGATCACATAGAAACACCAAAGTTCCCGAAGGGCATGTGAGCCCGACGGTTCAAGTTTATATGGACTCTTTAATCAAATAGTTTCAAGTGGAATTTATGTACAGAGAAACTGAAGATGTTGAAGAGCCAGGAGGTTGATAGTTAAGCATATAAGCAAGCAGTCTGGTTGTGACAAAACAAGAAAATGTGAAGACCTGGGATCCTGCCCGAGCAGCATGGGCAGCGTGGATGCCGTCGTTTGCACCTTCCAAAGTTTCCAAGCTCCCGCAGAAACCTTTGGGGAAAGCGGGGCAGGTGCGGAGCAAACATCCAAATCTAGCCAATGAGAGCGTGCGAATCACACGAGGCCAAAACTTTGGGATCCACCACGGGCCCATAATGTTCAGGCAGCCAATCAGTGTGCGGCAGGCGCGTGCTAGGCGCATCCCCCCGACACCCGATTTGTTCGATTTTGACCGCCCGCCGCAAGCAGTGGCAGCGAAGTGGCAGCATCAGAGGAAAGTGCAGCGACTTTTGAGCCGACCCGAATGGGGCTGGTCAGAGGAAATTCCAGATTTATTTTCGAATCCGAGATCTACGATTTGACAGACGTCAAGGTTCAGGACCGCGCCCGCACCCCGACCTCTGCGCTCCAGCCACGACTGGCACTGAGCCCTCGCCCCTCGACGACGAGTCCGCGACGACGAAGGAGCTTGGCGAATGGCACAAGCGATGACTTCGTCTGTTCTGGACGGCGGCGTCGGCGTCGCCTGCGATTCCTGCGAGTCGCCCGCGCCGCCTGCCTTTTCCCCGCTGACCGACGCCGACGTCGACACCGGCAGCCGCGATGCGCTCGACAACGACAACGACGACAAGAACGATGAGGGTTTCGATGAGAAGCGAGGGTCGAACTCGACCAGCACAAACAGCTCGTCCAGCTCGGACTCTGTCGCTGATCCTGCGTCTGGGACAGCCGGCAGCAGTGCCAGTCCTAGCACGAGCAATCACTCGAACAACGCTGCCAGTGCTGCCCCTGCCGATTCCCTCGCTTCCGTAGACACAAAAGAACAATCGCAAGCGCAGCAAAACGCTCTCTCTCTAGCGCAGTCCAATGGCGATCCCATGGTCCTCGATGTGCCAATGGCCGACACCACGATGCCTACCACCACTATAGACACCCCCATGGGCGGGACCATGGATTACACCACATCCCCAATTGCGACGAACCAGTTCGATGTGTACCAGCAGAAACTGCTCATGGCGCTCGCTAGCCTGTCTGCCTCGGCTCAGCCGCCGCAGCCATCCACGGTCCATCCGTCCCAAGTCTCGCTCCCCCCGCAGTCCATGCTCTCCACTCCCGATCCCCTCATGCCCCTCGCCGATGATACCGCCGCCAACCCCCCCATGCCCGATGACGCCCCGCTCGAGTCCTTTGCCCGCATCGAGTTTGCCGACAGTGTCTTCCAAATGACCACATATGCCGTGACCATTGGTCGCGACCAGCGTGCTCTCGAGCAGGCCAGGCGCGATGAGCGCCGCTGGGAAGAGTACCAGCGCAAGTGCGCCGAAGCCGAGAAGCTCGGTCTGCCCCCTCCTTCTCCGCCGACCCGCGACCGCAGCAAGTTCAGCAAGTCGTACGTCAGCGAGGAAGGAGGCATGCTGGGTCCTGAGTCTGACGGAGAAAATCCTCGCCCGGTCAAGAGGAGGAAAATGAGCGCTTCTGTGTCCGGAGACTCGCATCAGCAACCAGACCCTGCCCTGGGCGACCAAGGCGAGGAGAAGAACCCGTCCCTCAACAGACAATATGTGTCGCACACGCCTGGTGCTGCTGCTGTAAACCTCAGCGCCCTTCGTCCATCGCCGCACTATGTCCCGTTTATTGGCATCCACTCGCCCGGTCCGAACATTGCCAGCCGGACAAAGGCCATCTCCCGAGAGCACTTGCGAATTCAGTACAACCAGAAAGAGGGTGTTTTTGAAGCCATCCCCTTGCACAAGAATGGCTTCTTTTGCCAGGATGTCCACTATAGGGATCAGAAAGTTGTTTTGCGGAGTGGTGATCGTCTGCAGATCAAGGATGTTGAGTTTGTGTTCAAGATTAATGGTGTGCCCCGCGGCATGACGGGTGCCGAAGAATGCCTGAGAGAAGCGCGCACGTCTAAGAGCCGGCGCTACTCGGAGGGCGGCAAGGAGATGAGCTTCGACTTTGAGAGTACTCATGACAACGACAGACGGAGTACGAGTCCTGAAGACGATGTTCCCGAGCAGCCTACTATCAAGGATGACAGCTCTAGTGAGCTGTCCGAGCCAGGCGAGGAGATTCCTGAGCCGGAGCCTGAGACTACCACCAAGGAGGAGAACATCATGCAGTCGATCGAAAAGGACGAGGCACCGCCGCCGATGTCTGAGGAGGAGAGGAAACAGCAGCAGATCCAGCAACACACACAGGAGCTGGCCAAGCAGCTGGACCTCCCGCCCGAGGTGCTTGCCGATCTCCCTCCGATTCCCAAGAAGCGCGGTCCCGGTCGTCCGCCGAAGAACGGTATCATGTCCAAGCGCGAAGAGCGGCTTCGCAAGAAGGCCGCCCTGGAGCTGGCCAAGAAGAACATGCCCCAGCCGCCTCCCGGCGAACCTCCCGTCAAGAGGAAGGTCGGCCGTCCACGGAAGCACCCGCTGCCCGAGAACGCTCCGGACAAGCCGGAGAAGCGCAAGTACAAGCCAAGGAAGTCAAAGGAAGACGGCGAGGGCACCGATGGCGAGAAGCCAGAGAAGCGGAGACGCGAGAAGCCGAAGACACCTCCTCTGGAGCTCAGGAGAGAGGACTACACGGAGGAGCAGTTACAGAAGCCCAACAAAAACTACGGCATGTTGATCGACGAAGTCTTGTCGGCCGCGCCGCAGGGCTTGACACTCAAGCAGATCTACAAGCGCATCCAGATGAAGTATCCCTTCTACTACTTTGCTGTCGACACCAAGGGCTGGGAGAGCTCTGTCCGTCACAACCTGATTGGGAACGATGCGTTTGAGAAGAACGAAGAAACCCATCTGTGGCGACGCGTGCCGGGTATCGACATTGATGCCGGAAAGAAGCGCAAGCAGGCTACGCCGGATCAGTCGCATTTGCACAATCTGAACCAACAGCATCAGCATCAGCATCAGCATCAGCAGCAGCAGCAGCAGCAGCAGAACTTTGCGGCTTCTGCTACGCCAGCTGCTCAGTTCCAGGCTCAGGGTACTGCTCAGCAAGCTTACCGGCCTGGGACTGTTCCACAACAGCAGACTGGGTATGCTGCCAGCCAAGGGCAGCCTGCTCAATATGCTCAACCGCAGCAACCACAACAGATGGGTGTGCAGCAACCTGTCGGTGCCGCGCAGGCGCAACCTCCGCGGTCGTATCCAACTACCGCACAGGTTCCAGCAGCTCAAACGACATATGCACCTGCTGGTCAACCCCAACCAGCGGCCGCACAGCCATATACTTCTCCATATACACCGCGGCCTACAGGGGGCGCGGCTCAGCCTGCTCAGGGCACTGCTCCTGCTGCAAACAGATCCGGTGTTCCCACTCAGTATACACCGACTCAATACAATGGTGTGCCCCAGGGCGCTACAACGGCGACAACAGCTGTGGGCGCTCGGCCTGCTCAGCCCTCCGCCAACGCAAACAACACGCTCAATCTAAAGCCTGCTGTCGCTCCCGAGCTCGTCAGGCACGTTACTACTTTCAAGAACACCGTCACCGAGCAGCTCACGAAGCGCACGCCCAATGCTGAGGCTGTCGCTATGTCCGTCATCAACCGTGGTCTTGGCCTCACTAACGAGAGCATGGTGCCAAACGAAGAGTCGCTCGAAAAGATCGTGCTGGGTGTGTTCGAGTCGAGCCGCAAGAAGCTGGGCATCAACCAGTCGCTCCATCCTGGCCTCGTCCAGGCGCTTGTCAATTTCAAGAACACCATGACTAAGACCCTGGAGCCGAGAATGGGCAAGCTAAATGCCGAGCGGCTGATTCTGTCGGCTGTCGATCGTGTGCTTGGGTTTGCCGACAAGAGCACCATGCCGGGCTCTGAGGCAGACAAGAAGCAATATGACGAAGCTGAGAATGTGCTCATCCCGGCGATCAGGCGTGTTGTTACTGATCATCAGCGTACTCTTGCTACTGTTGCCGCTGCGGCTCCGGGTGCTCCCCGGCCAGCTGTGCCCGGATCGGCTACTCCGGCGCCTGCTGCTCCAAGGGTTCAGGCTCCTGCGCCTGCGCCAGTTAACACGTATGCTCCGGCTCCGAATGCCGCTAGACCGGTTCAGATGCCTGCGACGGCTTATACTACTGCTGCTACTCCTCGTCCTCCTGTTGCAACAGCTGCTCCTGCTCAAGTTCCTGCGCAGGCACCAGTTCAGACTGCTGCCCCTGTGAACAGGGTTTCTCAACCAGCGCCTATTCAGCAGGCTCCGATGACGACTGGCAATGTTGTTCAGCAACCACAGGCCCAGATGGCTCCAGCGACCCAGGCTCCAGCCACGGTGCCAAACCAGACCGTTGCTCCCGTCAGCCAGCCTGGCCAGCTACCTGCAAACCCGGCAGCGTCCCAGCCTGCTCAGATTGCTACGACGCAATCTATTTCTCAGCAAGTTCAAGCACAGGGGGTGAAGCCAGTGCAGCCTGCTCCTGTTCAATCGACCATGCCTCAGGCGCAGACAACGGCTTCAGTTCAGGCCCAGGTGCAGATGCAGGCGCCGACGCAAGCTCAAAGTAGTGTTCCAGTTCAGACTACAGCGACACAGGCTCCCACGGCACAGATGACTGCAGTTCCGACTCCAGTGGAGGCGCCGACTCGAGCTCCAGGGACTCAAATCTCGACTGCCCCCGCTCCGGCGGCTCAAGCTCCGACACCAGCTGCCCCAGCTCCAGTCGCTCAGCCTGCGCCAGCTCAGATCCTGTCAGCACCTGTTGCAACTATGGGCGTGCCGAATCCACCAGCTGCTGCTCCTGCTCCTACGAATAGCCCAGCTTCGGCTCCTGCACCCAACAAGCTGCAAATGCCGACTCCAAATACGACGTCGTCTGCGCCGGGGGATGTTGAGCCGGTTTTTCAGGCACCGGCTGTTAGTGCTGCTCCAGGAACTGCTCTTGCGGCTGCTACCGCATCTTCGGCGGTCCCTGCTGCTCCTGCTGCAACACAAACACCTGCTCAGCCTACGCCTGTTCCATCGACTCCGGCGACATCGGCCCCAACAATCACTGTTGCTGAGCAGAAGACAACATCGCCTGCTGTTGCTGCTCCTCTGGCTGAGGCTTCTGCGCCGAAGGTGACTGAACCTGCTGTGCAGACGCCGGCTCAGGCACCAGCTGCCCCACAGGCTCAAAATCAACCAACACAAGCTCCTACGGCATCCCCACCGGCGCCGACACCTGTTCCAGCTCCGGTTCAGCAAAATACCACTGAGCCAGCTGCTCCAGTGGCTAAAGACGTGTCTGTTCCCGCAGCCCCAATCGCCACAGTTGCTCCTGAGCAGACTACCACTCCATCCGCAGAGCTGGTGACTGCCACAACAGCGTCTGCCGCAGCGCCTGCTACTCAATGAGCTACTCAGCTTGGACTGCGGCCCAGCTGGTTAACTCTCCTCGTTTTACACGTTACTCCCATTCCTCACATTACTCTTATGTACACCACCACATCACCTCACACAACAATAGAAGAAGGGACGAAGGACGGAAAGAAGAAGGTCGGCGATCGGCGGTAGGGCGTTTTGGTACAGGATTTTTTTTTCTTTGGTATCCATGGTTTTTCATCGGCGGAAGGCACATGTTATTTCATACCTGGATTGATTGACGGGAAGGCAGGCGAGCAAACGGACATCGTTTATCCCACAGCAACAATGTGGTCGTGTTGTGTCGTGTAGCGTTGCATGCAATGCATTATATATCTTATCGACTTCTTTTTTTATGTTGCTGCGTTATGGGGAGTAGCATGGACAATGTCCAATGTTATACAATCCTTTTACTTGCAAGGAAGGGATGCAAAGATGTGGGGGATGATGAGCATGATTATCTACTCTAACATGGTTACTTGCCTAGGTATTTAGAGATGGGATGGGAGGGTTTACAAAAAGAGATAAAAAGTCGGCAGGGGAAGTGAGGGATTGATATCCGCAATTGGAGTCATACATACAACATACCTAGGACCTGGCTAGCTAGCGAAATGGGGTAGTGTAAGCTGGCGGGATTCCAACATGCTCATTAGACTATCTTTTCTGTTTTGCGATGTTGGATGTATGTTGTTCTCGATGGTTTGGAGAGGCAAGACAAAGTATCTGGTAGTCATGCCTATTCTTTGAATCAAACATGAGATGAAAGAACTGATTTGATCATGGACAAGGCTCGATAAGTGTGAGTAGAAAACCTCTGTCATAACCCCTGTCGTGTAAACGAGACCGAAGTCGGTTTGTCCCAGCTGCCAAAAAGCATATGAGCTTGAGCCACCGGCATCTCTGCCGAAACCGGTATCTCCCCTCCCCGCATGCCAGGTACATGTGCCCTTGCTGTAGCCTTCCGTCCATCCATCACACCCTTCCGCTAAGACCGTGTGGTCTCCGTTCGGACCGAGCCCGAGGTTGAAGCTTCGCGACGGTGCTAGCTCCGCAGAGACGAGAACCATGTCCATTGGTCTATGTACAAAGAACAAAGCCACGTGGAAGTGAGGGGTCGAGGTTCATGTGCGGTGGCACAGAGTCAAGGCATCGGAATTGGACGGTTGGTTGGATTAGTGATCAACGGAAGGGCGTGGGAGCTTATGTAAAGGAGATGTTTTGGATGAGGGTCTGGTTTACTGTGTTGACGTCGGTAATGAGGAAGAGCTTCATTCAACCGAGGAGTTATATAATCCGTTGACTCACGACGATTGGCGAGGAAGCAACCTACCTATACAACTCTTTCCCCTTGATCTTGAAAACACCCTCTCTCGGCCAGATCTGAACTTTTGTCATCAAATCCCTCCAACCGTCGAGCCTTACCAATAATATACTGTGCTACGTGCAATCAACGTCAGCATCACAGCCATGTCTCCATCGTCGACGGCTCTCCCACCCATCATCCTCTACCATTACCCTTATTCGCCATACGCCCGACGGGTGATTTGGTACCTCCGACTTCGCGGCATCCCCTACAAGCAATGTGTAAGTTTCTTTCCCCTGCCTCTCACAGTCATCACCACATCTCGACATGTCACTAACACTCACCAGATACAACCCCCAACCCTCCCCCGCCCAGACCTCACCCGCCTAGGCCTCTCCTACCGCCGCATCCCCGTCCTCGCCATCGCCCACGACGTCTACCTCGACAGCCGGCTCATCTTTCGCAAACTGGAGTCCCTCCGTCACCCCAGCATCAAACCGCCGTTGGGGGTCAGGGCTAGGGCAAAACTTGCCGCATCATCTCTTGCCACTTCCAGCAACCCCAATTCCAACACCGATGACCTCAACACAGCTGAGAAGACCTCCACGAAGCCGAGTCTCACATCCCAAGACGCGACAGCCCTCGCCTTGGAGCGTCTCCTGTCCGTCTTTACCACACAAACACCCCTCTTCTTCCACGCCGCCTCCCTTCTCCCTCCCTCCCTCCCCCTCATGAAAGATGAATCCTTCCGCCGCGACAGGGACGACTTTTTCCATGGAGGCAAGATCAACACTTCCGTTACAAGTACAACAACTGCCGTTACGAACCCCGGTCCGGATGCTTCTCAGCTAAGGGCGGAAGCAGCACATGTTTTGCATTCGGCAACCTCACTCCTGGAAGAAACGATTTTGGCTGATGGCAGACCATGGGTTTTAGGCGAGGAGGGGCCAACACTGGCGGATATCGAGGCTGTGTGGGTGTTTCATTGGGTTACCGGTTTACCGGGCATGGTTGATCAAGAACTATGGAAGGAGAAATACCCACGTGTCATGGCGTGGATTGCGCGATTCCAGGCTGCCGTCGGCGCCGTTAAACAGAACCCGCCGACGTTAACGGGCGAGCAGGCTGCTGATCTTATCATGGGCAAGTCCAAATCAGAGATGGAATCGTCCTCAACGGGGTCATGGGAGGATGATAGACTGGGGATAGACACCCAAGACGAGGTGGTCAAAGTCTGTGGACTGAGAAAGGGCTCGAGAGTGGAAGTGTGGCCCACGGATTCTGGCATGACGCATAGGGATAGGGGGACGTTAATTGGTATTGAGGGGGATGAGGTTGTGTGGTTGACGGGAAAGGGGGTTAGGGTGCATGCGCCTAGGGAAGGGTTTAGAGTTAGGCCAGAGGGGGGAGAGGCGAGATTGTGATGGGATAAGATGAATGAACGGTGATGAAATGGGATGGGATTGTTGTTTACTCAGGGTAAAAGGTGTTCAACTGTTCAAGGTCTCAATCGGTCTAGAGTTGTCACAAAGTTTAGTCGGGGATAGGATGAATGAAAGGGGTTGGTTGAGGTTGGTTACATCGGGATGGGCTGTCGAGATCTCAATTTCCATCAGAGTTTCGATTCCGTGTACTACTGTAGATCGGCAGCCTCTGACATCACACGTGTATTGTTCCTAAGGCTTAAACATCGGATCTGAGATATGGAGAGAAACAAAGGCCCAGAGACGTTTCACATATATCTAAACCTTTTTAAGAAAAGTTATTTTCAGCTTATGACGCATACTGACATCGGAAAACCCACTAACCACATGTCAAAGCCCTCGTCATATGATGCTACGGGTTACAGGTACCTGAATCCATCTCAACCCTTCCTTCCCACACCCTGGGGACGAATGACGATGGTGTTTCCCCCCCGGAAACCTTCCAGAAGCACTAGCCACAGCGCCACATCTACGCCACGCCCCCGATCCATCCATCGGCAGAAGAAGAAGAAGCCTTGGCAGAAGCCAATAAGTGGATCCAGCCGGCCATCCATTCATCCATCCAGAGTCCCCGTCTCCTTGTTGTACCCCACACAGTGCCCAGCCTCGACTCGGTACGGCCATCATCTCAACTTCTCTTTTCACATTTTCCCCATACATAGACCCGCCAAGCACCCAGGTCCAATGGGCTGTTAACGTGATGGTTGAAAATCGCCCCATGGCGCAAGCTCAGCGGACAGGGATGATGATGCGGCCGTCCACTCAGCCGGGAGCGCTGCTGTCTCGCAGGTGCTGTTAGAACTGTGTTGCGGACTGTGCTGTGCTCGAAGGTTGGAGCCAGGTATTTTCCATGAGGATTACCCACACTTGAGCCAGCGAGCGCCTTTAGACCGGGAGAGAACGCGCGATTTTGAGGGGTTTGTTCATCTCATTCATCTTCATGGTTGTGAATTTTTTTTTATTCCTGATTAAGCTCGGGACATTAAGCAGCCGACGGTGTCAACATCGCAGAAAACGAAACTCGAAACCGACACACACAAAACATACGCTTGTCACGCTGCATGCAGTGTGTGGGGAGAGGGATGTACAGAGAGCAGAGAACCTGAGCAGCACTGTCCCGCGTGCGTGGGCGTCAGGTGTGTGCGGTGCGGCCGGGCAGTGGCAGCAGCTAATATTCATGCATCCATTAAAGTGCGTCATACGGGGCTGGAAAAAGGGAACTGGACAGTGCGGGAAAAAAAATAAAGGTACTTTAGACTCGAAGTTGGGCCTGGTTTTGCCCAGAAAGCCACCAACCCTAGCCCGCAACTGCAAACAGCAGATAGCACAAGATACGCCAAAGGTCCCGGGCTCACCGCAAACTATCGCCTTGGGAAGTGAAACACGAGTTGGCGAGAGATCCTCGAAAAGAAGTGCATACTTGCGCAGATGACAAACCACAGTGATGTATGCGGCTGATGAAATTGCGGCAGCGGCCGGAGGGCGGGGACGCTCCAGGCCGCTCCTTCTTCGATCAGCCCTCCACAGTACGAAAACCGTTGGGTTACATTGTGCTAGGGAACAATCAGTTCCATTCAGGTGCCATCACCACCCGCCCCCGTTTTACCCAGTTACGTCATCGCCCTGCAAAACTGAAAAAGCGCCGGGGTTGTCCACCGCCTGTTGTGTTATCGACCACTGAGCAGACAGGATGCCACACACAAAAAAATTTTTTTTTTTTTTTTACCTACCTAGCCTACGGCAACGTCGGCGGTGGCAGCATCCTTTATCAGAGATGGATGGAACGAAAAGTATGTTTGTTTTTGCAACAGCGTCTTCCTGGCCGTGATGTCGAGTCGCGGGCTTGCAGAGCAGCCGGCCGAATGATGGCACATTGCAGGGACCAGGATGGATATCGCGGGGATAAAACCACAGCAAGAGATGGACTTGGTGGTGGACCAGAGCCTTTTTCTGTGCACTGCAGTACTTGAACGGGGTGGAGTTTCATGATCCATCCATTGCTAGGTTCGACGGGATGGAAGAGAAGCCAGTCAGCAGTAGCCAGATTGCACATATTACCCTGACGCAATCATGCCTCTGCTTTTCTCTCTCGGTTTCGTCTTCCCCACGTCGGCAAGCGGGCAGCCGAGTGGGAGCCGAGAATTTGTAAGATGGGCTAGACTGCATTGCAGAGAGAAAGCAGAAGACATCGAAGCAACACGCAGCAGCGCGGAGAAGAGGGCCACAGCCGCGAGGAAAGACGCGCTGCTGATTCGCCAGCCCGAGTCTGTTGCCACGGGATGCCCCACCGGACCGTGCTGTTGCTGTGCCATACGGTTTTGCTGTCTTCAACGTGAGCCGAGTCCAGCCCAGCCAGGCGTTTTCCCGCCGTGATCACGAGAGTTGCGATCTGTCAAGGGTTCCAGACTGTTGGACGGCTCAGTGTTTTTTCTACGAGCCGCATGTCACATCGGAGAGCAACGAGATCCAAGGAGACGAGCTGATCTCGGGACACGTAGTTGGCGGCCATATGGTGTGGGCTTTTGTCTTGTTTCTAGCGCTAGGAGCCTCCTGAAAGTCCCGGCAGTACTCCACTGGCAGAGAGAATCTCGAGACGGCGCGTCCAGGCCACTGGCACTGACGCGACCAGAGAATGTCTGTAAGGTGTTGATCTCCTGTTCGTGCTCCTGCGCGAGATTCCGCATCCACGTATGGGCTGCAGATTGCGTCAAGCTGCGATCCAGATTGCGATTTCTATTTAGACTTTTAAGGTTTTTTTTTTTCTCTTTGCTGACGGTGGGAAGCCGTGATGGTCTCATCTCATCTGCTGACCTCATAACGGCATGGAGCAGCTGCTCGCATGCAGGGGCGCCCGCCGCCGGTACTGGTGCAGTGAGGGCTGGCTTTCGTTCGCTTGCCCTTCTAGGGCCCCCCTTAGGCTCCGTCTCCTAGCTGGGAGTGCTCCTACGGAAGAGCTTGCACAGTCTGCTGCACTGTGGCCCACAATCCCTTTCAGGCTTCCATCGGGAACTGGACGGTAGGAAGCCAGGTGCGCTGTTCGATGAAAGTCTTTTATAAAAAACTTAAAAAGACACAGGAAGTTTCGACGGGTACATGCCACTAGCTTCTTCCTTAGACTAATAGCGATTGTCGCGGCTGCCGCGATTAAACGGCTAGATCTCGTGAGTTAGATTCGGGCTGGGCAATGAATGCAGCTTCCAGGGCCCAGGCACGGAACAAGCCCGTCGAACGATTCTAGCTGCACCTGGCTGGGCGCTTGGCGGCCATCAAGCCGAATAGGGATGGACTCGTCAAGGCTGTTTGATGAATCATGATCTTGAGATCTGGTCAGCTCCATGAAGGCAGCTTTTGGCAGCCTGGTTGCATTCAGTCTCAGCTTAAGGTCCTAACCAAAATAAAATGTATAAGTCATTTCAACTTCGAATTTTTGTTTTTTGATCTCTTTTAAGCGGACGGTACATCGTTCGTAGCACTACAGTGTGCCTCGACGCGCACGGGGCATCTGCATCACGGCTTCTTTCTTCTGACCTGGCAGCCACACAGCGACGGTTGGCCAGTGGGAGCCACTGCCAGCCGGTGGGCACTGGGCACACAGACCCAGACCCACAGGGCTACCCCATTATTTTTTATTTTGCCCGCGCCCGCTGATTTTCCTAACGTCATACCTGACGTCGTCCCCCCGTTCTCGGTCTTGTCGTGCCCCAAGGCCCCAGATGCAGTGACGCACCACGCACCACGTCCATCACAGCCCGCCGCACGACAGCCTGCGCGCACCAGCCCGACCAGCACGTCCACACACATCCACAAACCACATCCACATCGCATTTTAACATTACAAGAGATACGGTACAGTAACAGACAGCCCAGAGGATCGTCGACGCTGTCCTTTGCGCGTGCCGCCACGGCCCCGACGCAGGGAACGCAACGCCAATCAGTTTTGACTCTTCGAGGAAAAGGAAAAAAAAAGAAAAAGAAGAGAGAGAGAGAGAGAGAGGAAAAGGAGCGTTGAATCGAAGATCTGGCGTCTGTTCGCCATTCACTCATCCAGTCCAGTCCGCGTCCCATCTGCAGGTCGCTGCCAATCCGAAATCGCCCGCCCCGGGATTTCGCTGCTTATTAGCGGGCTGCCCCCCTTTATGAAGTCGGTTTATGTCCCAGTGACCTCATAGCCTTTCGTTCGCACTTCCATTTTCGCCCCGTCGGCCACCCGGCATACAACTGTCCCCCGACATACGCCCAGGCGCCCGCTGCCAGTGTGATTGACATCATGGGCTCGCCCTCTGGAGCCGCCGGTCGCGGTGGTGACTCGTCATCGCCAAACCAGCCCGGCAGCATTTCTCTGTCCCAAGGTGAGTACACAAACACATGCTACAGAGGCAGTCGGGCTCGTGAAGATGAGCTGCAACGGCGCAGCAATTACCATGGAATTAACTTTTCCGATGGAACGCTTTGTTAACCCGAACGCTCAGATGCTTCTTCAGATGTCAAGCGCTCGAGTTCCGTGAAAGTAGAAGAGCCCGCGGCGCATTACGCTTCCCCCGCTTCCTCATCGCAACCCTCTTCGTCCTCTTCGTCTGCATCGAGTTCTGTTCCCGTTTCGATGAGCAAAAACACGACCAGCGCCCCTGAAAACAGCAGCAGCACGACGTTGCCTCCGCCATCAACAGCACCAACGGTACCCATTACGAACAGCAATCCCAAGCTCCCCACTCAGCTGCCGCCTCTGACGCGGCCGCCGCAGTCGTCGACAGCGCCGCGAAAGACCAGCAGTCCTGATTACTTCTCACACAAAGCATCCCTTAGCCTCGAGCCTAACCCGTTCGAACAGTCGTTTGGAAACGCACCTGTGGAAACGCCGGGAGGCACTAAGTTGCCTTCTGTTGCCGCACTCACGTCTCCTTCGTCTCTTTTGCCTGGTGGCTCACCGTTCTGGGGACAAGGTTCTCTTCGAACCGGTCCGCTGAGCCCGGCCATGCTCTCGGGTCCCGCGAATAACGACTACTTCGGTGACCCGCATCCCATCCCGCGCGGGTTTCCGACGCCGAACGAGTCTTCTCTCCGAACCGGTCTGACTCCTGGAGGCAGCGGGTCCATGTTCCCAGCTCCAAGTCCGACTTCTCAGTCTCTTTTCTCCCTTAGCGGCCCTGCTGCGACGCCGGGCACGCTCGACTTTCATCGGACTGCTCTCAATGCCGCTGCGGCTAAGCGCGAACAGAGCCAGACACAACAACCACCGACGCTACCTCCCCCTCAGCCTAGCAATACGGCGCCTACATCTCAGCCACAGGAGATGAGCAACGGCTTGTCTGCCCCTAAGCCGGCGGAGCCCAGGCCCGCTCCTCCGACCGCCAGCACCTTCGATCCCCATGATAACGACGCTGCCAATGGTTTGTTCATGCTGGCCCAGGGACGCAGCGCAACCCAGCTGCCACCTCCCCAGCCGTACAACGTACCCTCGATCCAACTGCACACAACCTCAGCTGCCCCGGCGCCGGCCCAGCAGCCGACTACCAGCACCTCTCCTCAGGTTGGTGGTGCCCCGTCGGTGTCTGGGAGCTCGGGTCGTGGTGCTAGCGAGGCCAGTGCGCGCTCAGAAGAAAGCGAGGGCGCTCGGCCGAGTACTCGTGCCAAGGGCAAGCGGACATCGAGCAGCACGGCGACCAATGCCCGTCGCAAGGCTGAGGAGCCCGCAGCGAAGGCACCGGCCGCCAAGAAGACCAAGACTAACAGCGAGAACGGCGCCGAGGAGGAGGCGCAAAACAATGACGCCAATGCTAATAATGAGGAGGGTGCTAAGGAGAACAAGCCCAGCACTTCTTCCAGCAACGCATCCTCGTCCAAGGCTAAGATGACGGACGAGGAGAAGCGCAGAAACTTCCTGGAGCGCAACCGGTACGTTGTAAATGCGAGTTTGGTAGCAGTAACATGCTGACCTGTCCTAGCGTGGCCGCGCTCAAGTGCCGACAGCGCAAGAAGCAGTGGCTGCAGAGCCTGCAGCAGAAAGTGGAGATGTTCAGCTCGGAGAACGACCAGCTCACGCAACAGATTACGCAGTTGCGCGAGGAGGTGGTCAATCTCAAGACGCTGCTGCTGGCACACAAGGACTGCCCCGTGACGCAGCAGCAGGGCTTGCACGGCGCCTTCCTGCAGCAGGCCCTCGAGCCATTCAACCACCAGCCGCCGCCCGCGGCGGCGCCAGCGGGGGCGCTCAACCCCTACGCTACCATCCCGCCGTCCATCCCCCCGCCGAGTCAGCCCGTGCTCGCCGGGCAGTCTGTCAGCCGCCGTTATTCATGACGGTTCCCTCCTTGAGTTTGTCCTCGGCATCGCCGTCATAATGGTGTCGAGGAACACGGGAGGGCGTGGGTAGGCTGTACATCTAGGCGAGCGGTGCCTTTATTATGCTATTGTCTTTATTTTTTTTTTACCGCCTGGTCACGCTTATACATTCTGGTTGCTGATGATCAGGATGACTGGCACGGCTCACTGTACTTCATCTTCTCACTTGGAAGGGCCCGCCTCGCCTTGTATCTTTTATGGCAACAAACCGGGGGGTGGATACACTAAAAAGGGGCGTTTATACTTATTGTGCTTATTTTGGTGGTGATGGATGGATGGATGGATGGGGCGTTGTATGTTTGTGGGATGAAAGTATTACTCTGCTTTTTTTTATCTCTGCTCTTGTCGGTTGCGAGTTTTACGTTATTGACTTTGCTTCTGCGACTTTGGACGGACGGACGGATGATGGTTGGGAGGAACGGAATCGTCTTCCCTTCTTAAAAGACAATGGGGAACGGACGGACGGGCGTCATTGTCTCAATCTGTGTGTATGGGAAGGGATACTAAGTGGGCACTTAAAGGCGTTGGAAGATATCTTTTATGCCGGGTTGGTGGCAAGGATTGCTTGCTTGAGTCTCCGAGGAAGGCAGACTTGGGCAGTTCACCATCAACGGGTTCTTGTTCCGTCCCTTTTTTTTTTCAAGTTGGGCGGACTGAGAATAATATTACCGACGACAACAATCAACCGACCCGGTTCTTCTGAGTCCTGAGGCGTATAATCTCTGTCTGCTCTGCTTCATAACTCTCTTTTGGGGCTGGCTGGATTGGTCTGTCTTTGGACTCTATGGATGAATGGGGGATCGGGTATGGGTATCCGATGGATGGGATGGGCTTTGATGGATGGGATGGTAGGTAAGATGAATGGATGAATGGATGGATGGATGGATGGATGGATGAGGGAACAGGCTAGGGATTAAACGCTACACTACATACTAAGTACCTACTACACTATTACCGCATTAACTCACTCCTACTGCTATTACGGTTACTGATTATTTTGGTATGGACTAAGGTGTGTTGTTATCCACCCGTTATAGTCCGAGGAAACAGTGTGGGCTTGATGTGGATGGGCGCGTCTTGCTTCGTCGGGTTTAGTGGTGTTGAGAGAAGCGTTTGAGCAAAAACAAAAAAAAGAGCAGCAGCAGTGGCAGAAGTCGTAGAAGTAGTGGTACCACTCCGTGAAATCCTAATGAAAGATATCGGTTCGAGAGCTTTGGCTTTTAACGTTTGTCTATTGTTTCACAGCGCTCCGTAAAATGTGTGTAACCGACGACCGATGCCGCCGATGGTGATGACGCAAACAAGAGACGAAACGGGACCGGTGAGAACGATGGCGTCATCTCCTCCCCTCTCCAAACCTCCTTCCAGGCTCTCCCGCCACGTTTCTGCAGCAAACCCCGAACCCTAAACCTGAGAGCTCGGATCGTCCATCCTGTGTGGTGCGGGGCGACAAGAACACAATTGGCTTGGCTGGAGGACTTGGCTTGCTTGGCAGACTTGGCTTGCTTGGGCGAAGTGGGATGGACCCATGTGGTCTTTGCGTCTTGGCGTCCACTTGTCGCGAAACGCGCTGGGTGGTCCAAGCTTCTTTTTTGTGTGACGGGAGAGGAGGGTTGGGGTAAACAAAGAGGCCAAGAAGACGACCCGAGGCCCAGGCGCGTGGCATCAACGCCTTTCGAAGAGAATATTGAAAACTAATTCTAAGTTCTCTGTAGTCACCGATCTATTGAAGTATATAATTTCGTGACATCTCTGTTTGCCAAACCGAGGGTTGGGGTTGAGCAGACTTGAGACCCCCGAGACTCAGGGCGCCCAAATAACGAGGGGGGACGGGGACATTTGACAACGCTGCTCACTCGACGCGTCTCTCGTGCCGCCACCAACGCTTGCCCGCCCGCCCACTCCCGAGCCCATCGTTTCCCACACGCACATATAACACCACACCATAGCAGCGGGCGCTGATAACCCTAACCCGTCGGCCTGTATTCGTGAGGAGTATCGATTTCAACGCGCGACAAATTGCGCAGTGCAATTGCTGCACATTGCTGGGCGGCGCATCGCAGAGCTTGAAGCTCACCACGACGACGACGACGACGACGACTACCACGGCCACGACGACGTTCATCTGATCTGCCCAACCTGACAACTCCACGGCGCGAGATTGAGACTTAAGGGGATTGATTGATTGACCGCGGCGAGAAGGAACGAGGATCGTCGACGACGAGGCGATAAGCTGCGATCGGATTCACGCTAGGAGGGGATAGGGCAAGCTGAGTTCGGGACATTGGGCGCTGAGAAAACTTCGTCGCAACCCAACCGACCGACTGACTGAGTCGATCGATCCATTGGCCACGACAACATCGACGACAACAATTGCGACCAGCTGTCCATGCGCCTGCCATCTCTTCGTTACAACGATTATAGGAGTCCCGAAATCAGCCCGCACAAGCAGCAGCATTGATTGGGCTTGAATCCATGACTGCTACCCTCGTGCGGAGCCGCCAGCCGCTGTCAGTCTTGAGTATCACGGATAGCCACAACAATAACGCCATGTCGATGTCGGTGAGGGCGGGGAAGCGCCAAGCGGGTATGTTTTAAGTCCTTTTTATTATTCCATTGTGCTGTTGGAGAAGATGGAACTTGAGCACAAGCGCTGGGGTTTTCTCTCAAAGGCGCAACCGCATCTAGGGCTTTGTTGGGCTTGATTTGGTCGGCGCTTGCGCTTTGGACGAAGCAGAGGATGAGGGAAAGGGGATGGGTATGGTCACTATCTAGACGGAGATGCTAACTCTTCGTAACAGCTGCAACAGTCTACGACGAACAAGATGGCGACTTCCTCTTTACGCGCGGCTCTAAGCGCGCAAAAACAATTACCTCAACAAAGCAGCCCTCTCCCCCGCCGCCAGCACTACCCCCCCCTGCCGCACAACCAGATGACTTCGATGACTTCCAGCCCGTCCGCACCGGCGCCGCTAAGAAGGCCGGTAGACCGCCCAAGAAGGCGGCCGTTGCTAGCACAAAACGTACCGTTGCTGCCTCTCCTGAGCCGGAGCCAGAGCCCGAATCGGAGCCAAAACCAGCTAAAAGGCAGACCAGGCAACAGACGGTACTAGCTACGCCTCAGCCAGCGCAGACGACGACAAGGTCGACGAGGATGAGGGGTGCTGCGGCGGCGGCGGCAGCAACGGCAGCAGCAGCAGCAGAGACAGCCCCAGTACCGGCTTCAGCGGCAAGGGCTGCGGGGAGTACGCGGAGAGGGGGGAAGAGGAAATCCGCTGGGGGGGTACCAGCTCCTGAGCCAACGATTGTGGCCCCTCCGGAGACGATCGAAGAAGAAGAGGAGCCTGAGGAGGAAGTTCAGCCGAGGGGGAAGAGGGGGAGGAAGGGAGCTGCGGCTGGGGCACAAGAGAGGGAGGCTCAAGCTCCAGCGAAGGCGCAGCAGCAACGAAAATCAAAACGGGGGATAAACGGGACGAGGGAAGAGGAACCGGAACCTCCTCAAGAAGAGGAGGGGGGGGAGCCGATGGATGAGGATGAGAGGATACCGGCCACACAAGAAGTCCCTGTCCAGCCCAGCAGAGGAAGGACAAGAACAGCGCCAACGCCAGCAAAGCCCACAACTACCACTACCACCACCACAACACTACCAACAAATACCCCCCGACCAGCCGGACGTCCCGGCCCAACAACCCAATCCCAAACGATCCCCCTCCCCTTCAGCGACACACCCATCATGGAGCGTAACAAAGAGATGCGGCGCAAAAAGGACGGCGCTGGCGGCGCGGGCAACAGTCGAAGAAGCAGTCTCGGCATGCGCGGACGGCGCGCCAGCTCACTCATCGAGAGCGGGCACAATGCGCTGCCGCATCGGGAGGTCGATCCTGCCGAGTTTTACAAATATATCGCGGCGGATGGGCTGAGCGAGCCGAGACGGATGAAGCAACTCCTGATTTGGTGCGGCGAGAGGGCGTTGAGTGAAAAGCCCAGGGGGAAGGTAGGGATAGGGGGGAGTGCCGTTCTGGGGGGTAAGTTTGCTCTTTGGAAAGGATTTAAGCTGAGGAGAAAAAAAAAGAAAGAGAGAGAGAGAGAGAGAGAGAATGCTGACTGTGTGTGTGTAGCAAGAGCGATACAAGACCAGTTGCTCAAAGACTTTGGCGCGAGGTCGGAGTTTTCGGACTGGTTCTCGAGAGAGGAGGAGCCCAAACGGCCGGTGGTACTCCAGCCTAACCCGAAGAACATCCAGTTCGATGAGAAGATTGCTGAATTGGAGGCTAAGATTGAGAGGTACCCCCTTCTGTCTTCCTCTCTCATCTCAACTAAAGACGAATACTAACATCTATTTGCAGACTAAAAGCCGAAAAACGAGCCTGGCAAGCCATAACCAAGCCCTTCCCCATCGCAGACCCCCTCTACCCCCCAACCATCATCCCCCCAACCCCCTCGGAAGACCAACCTCAAGAACAACAACGCCCCCCTCCCCCAATTGAAACCCCCCCTCCCCGATACCTCCCTCCTCTCTCCCTCAGAACAAACCATCCTATCTTCCCTCACCTCAACTTCGGACGTCTCCCGCCGTCAGGTCCGCGCCCGTTTACAAAATGTACAATCCCAGCTGGAGTTCGCCGTCGACCTACTTGCGGACGGTGTGCACAAGCTGGATATGAGGGTACAGTCTGCTGGACGCGAAGCAGATGCTGTATTGGCGCTGGCAGCAAAGAGGTTGAGAGAAAGAGAGGAAAGGGAGAAAAGGGCCGTCGGGACGGTAGGCGTTGGGGTGTGGGAGGTGTTGAGGAGTCTGGGGCGGTTGTGTTGTCAGGACGGGGGGACATAGCCTACTCCTGGATATGTTTTAAGGGAGAAATGGGGGTGGGGATGTTGGACCGTTTCTTTGATGCAAGCAAGGTAGTGAAAAGATTAGGATGGGCTGGTTGGTTTGGGTGGTTGGGTTGGTATGGGTCAGATTCCCGGTGTTTTCTTTTTTTGTTCATTTTTGCTTGTTTGCGCCTGGGCATCATTCAGCATCGTTCTCATCAGCGTACGTATCTATGTAGTGAAGGGGTAGGAAGGAAGTACATAACATGACACATTGGGGTTTTCCATTGGGAGCATTTGTGGGCGTCTGGTTTTGAGTTTTCACCCAGAGAAGAGGGGTGTCCTACATCATTGGAAGGGCTGGTAAGAAGAGTACGGAGAGAGTTCAAGATTGAGACTCAAATACTCTTTGAATTTGCATTCGCCGTACTTTAGGTATCGTTGCTCGATATATGTGTTACTTCACGGGACATTTTCTCTTCATATCATATCGTACAACACTCTATTTTGCCTCAAAACACATACCCCCCCTTCGCCTTCCCCCCCCCCCCAAATCGTCTTCAGTTCCAATCCTCATTTCTCAGCCTGTTTATGAAACCGCTCTAAGTCGAAGCTCTCTCACAGGTATAATACAGCCAGTCACACATGTTTTACCCCACCTCTCCCCTCACAATTCCATCACGCCGCCCCCTATTTAAGCTTATATTCGTCCAGCTCAGGCATGAACCCTAACCCTCCCTTCTCGGCCCTCTTCTGCCGAACATGCTCCCGCAACATCTTCAGTATCTGACTATCCTTCCACCTGCTCGGCACAGGCCTATAAGCTGGCTTGAACGTCCCTACGGTCTGGGCCCACTCCCCCGGTCTCGGTGACTGAGTCAGTGCCGGGTCGGGCTGTTTCTGTTCTGTCACGGCCGATGGCTGCGGGGTCTCTTCTTGTGTCGCCCAGTAGTAGATGTCCCAGTCATTTTCGTCGAGGAAGCGGTCGTATTCGGAGAGTTGCTCGGGCGTCATGGTTGCGAGGTGCGCCGAGGCGAAGGTGGAGAGGAGGAGGTCGGATTCGAGGGTGCCGCGTTTGCGGGATTGATCTTTTCTTTTGAGTTAGCATCCATATCCATCACAGAGACTCCCCTCATCGCGGACAGAGGGAGTTGGAAGTGAGAGAAGGAAGCGGTAGGGAAAACGCACACAACAATCTAGCCCTCATAGTCTGCAGATCCTCGCCGGTCCTCCGCAAAGGCTCGATTCGGAACTTTGCGCCGGCCAACTCGCCCACATCGAGTTCATGCTGCGGCTTGTCTGATGCCGACGACGACGAGCTTTCAAACCTCTTCGGAGTAGCGCGCAGAGCGAAAGAGAGCGCTGCGGAAGCGCGGGGTAGGGCGCGGGTTACTGGGCGGAGGGCGGCCATTGCTTCTTTCTTCTTCGTTCCCCTCTACTCTTCGAGAGTGAAATTGTCAAGCTGGGAAAGGTATATAAAGAGAACTGACACCAAGCTGACAAATGCGGCTCTGCCCCGGAAGCAAGTGGCGACAGGCAATGGAGGAGGTGGTATGTCAAGACTTGAGAAACGGCGCCGGAGCTGCAGCAGAGGGCTTGGCTTGGCGGTATGACGACTCGACCTGAGTGCTTTGGCTTATGGGTGTGGGCCGAACCGAGGCCGAAGGAGCCGCCGTGGGTCTGGGGCAAACTCGGATGGCCGGACCGGCATGAACAAACATCGGGAACTTTAGAGCTAATACAGAGAGTTCCGTGGGAAAGGATACGGCCATTACGAGGGTATCCCGATCTCGTTCTATGATCTATTTTTCTTTTTTTTTTTGTTGAGTTCTACGTCATGAGCTCCCTTTCAGAGTTTCTGTTTGACCAGACATTTTCTGAGCGTTACACAGCACACAGCTTGTCCCAAGAGATACCTGACCTAAGGATGGCAGATGCAACTTTTCCGACCAACCCAAACATAACCGTGCCATTGCCATTGCCATTTCCAGTGCCATGTACAAGCCGTACAGCGTAGTGTAGTTGTAGTTGTAGTTGTAGTTGTAGTTGTAGTAGTATATCCGATATCGTCGTATCACGCCGTTCCCATACCCCGGACGAACGAATAAAAAACAAAAACACAGTTTCATTACTTTCTCTAGAGAAAAAAAAAAGACGAACCCGTTCAAATGAGATGCTTCGACCGGAAGTAGGCGCGCAGGTACATGATCTGCCAGACCCAGAGGGCGATCAACAGGAAGGTAGTCGCAAAGCCGAACCACTTGACGCGCGAATTGGTGCTCTCGTTGGTGTCGCGCAGCTTCTGCTCGCGCAGACGCAGGTACTCCATCTCGTTGACGATCTCGGCCACCAGCTCCTCGATGCGGCGCAGCTCCGTCTCAACCGGCTTGAGCTTTTCCGCGGCTTGGATCGCCGCCCAGTCCTTGGCGTCCGCGCCGATGTCCACGTCCAGCTCGATGCTCCGGAAGGGGCGGTCCACGTAGCGGGCTATACGCTGTTAGTCTTGTTCTTGTGACAATCCTCTGTTCAACACAGCGGCCGGGAGGACGTACAACCTGTCAGGACGTTCTCAAAGCACACGTCGAACGGGGCGTCAGCGTGCGAAGTAAAGACGACACGCTGCTCTCCCGCAAAGTCGCGCGGCTTGCCGTACTCGTTGCCGGTGGCATCGGTAATCTATCGACCCTCTCGTCAGCATCTCACTAGGAACCCCCAATCTGCCCGTAAGGTAGACGCACATGCATGCTCAGCTGCATGCCATCACCACGATACCCATCCGAAATGGCCGTGACGACGACCAGCTGGTCCTTCTGCACAAAGTTGCGGATGCAGCGGCGCGACTTGGCGTCGTGGCCGCTGCCCGCCTGAATCTCGAACTTGAGCGCCGTCGCGCCCACCGCCAGCAGCAGCAGGATACTGCAAACGCGCTGCAGCAGCGGTATCCGGGCCATGGTTGCGATTATTTGAGGATTAGCTTATTGGTGCCGGGTCAGCCGAGAATCTAACTGTCGATCGTCGTTGTCGTCGTTGATGTCCGCTGATGACGCCTGAACCCTGAACTTCACCTGGTACTGAAGGTGTGAACGGACAGCTGTCGCTTCCCCTGGAGCGGTGGGTCTTGTCAAGCTAACCCAGCCAATGACGTTGCCCTATTCCAGCCTCGCATCCAGCCTTGTACCCCACTGCAACCACACGCGTCTTGGCGCTCAGCCTCGCGCGCCGAAACTCGGCTGTTTTTGTTTCTCCCCGGCCCTTTTCTGTTTCGCGACGATTCCAGCGCCGAAAATCAACAACAACCCAATTCCACCAACCTTTCCCTCCCACACCACCCATTCATCTGTTTTCACGCAGCCACGGGCTGCCCGCCGTCAAGATGCCGAAGTGTAAGTATGCAATTCTGTGTTAGGAGATTACATTGTTGACTGACCAAATGTTTTTTGTTTTAAAAAAAAAAGTCTTCTGCGACTACTGCGACGTCTACCTCACGCACGACTCCATGAGCGTGCGCAAGGCCCACAACAACGGCCGCAACCACCTGCGCAATGTCATCGACTACTACCAACGTATGCCCCCTACCCTCCTCCCCTCCCCCAAAAAATCCTATCCCCATAGTCTCCTATGGAAAACTAATAGCATCCAGAAATCTCCCAAGAAAAAGCCCAATCCGTAATCGACTCCATCACTGCCTCCTACACCGCCGAAGGCCTCGCCCACGCAAACCCCATGCTCCCACAAAACCAGCCTGGCGCCTCCTCCGCCCCTCCCTACCCAGGCATGCCACCCTTCCCTGCCGCTCCCGGCGCGCCCGGCTCGACTCCCTTCTTCCCTCCCCCTCCTCCCGCGCCCGGCGCCGGTGCCCCCGGTGCACCGGGTACTTCGACCTCAGCGGCACCTAGCAGTACCCCGAGCAGTGCGGTTCCGCCCCCATTCCCGGGAGGAATTCCCCCGTTCCCTCCCGTTCCTATCCCGGGTATGCCGAGCATCCCGGGGATGCCCTTCCCCCCTCCGCCGTTCCCTGCCCCCGCCACGGGTACAGCAGGCCCAAATAAATCCGGGACGCCGACCACGGCCGGGGCACCGCCCTTCCCGTTTCCGCCGCCGTTCCCTCCCCCGCCGACGGGCGCAACGACATCTGGTGCTGGCGCGGCAGCAGGGACGCCGTCGACAGCTGGGGCACCTCCGTTCCCGATTCCTGGCGTGCCGCCTTTCCCTCCTGGGGCGCCAGGGGCGGCGGGGAAGCCTGGGGCTGTGCCGCCGCCACCACCACCATTCCCAGCTTATGGGGTGCCGCCGCCGGGTGCAGGGTTTCCTGGGGCGCCGGGGGCGTATCCCCCTCCTCCTCCTGGAGCACCAGGGGTTGGGGAGAAGCGTTGAGTTGATGGGTTTGGTTCGAGGGGTGGACATCATTAGCGCCTGTTGTTGAAACGAAAACGAGAGCAAGAGTCAAGCATGGAGCACTGGAAGGTAATGGGCACCAAGCTAAGAAAAGGGGAAGGTTCCAGACAGTGATATCAACATCACTGTGGGCCGAAGGATGGATGAGCAAGATGGATGGTCAACCACTCGAAGCCAATAATCACGACCAATCAAGTTGACAAGGCAAGTTGACAAGTCGAGTTGTGACCAGCAGTATGGGGCGGTAGATACAAGCAGCTAGCATGATCTGCTGCAGATCGAGATTCTTTTATTATTCTGTATGTATGTATTTGTTCTCTTTCTCTCTCTCTCTCTCTCTCTCTCTCTATGGATGGGCACGAAGAGTACTGCGATGGCGTTTACAGGCGTTTATGTTACAGTGGGTAGGTCGATGATAATACTACGTATGAATAAGAAAGATATGATACGAAAACTCGGGATGTAGGTATGGGATATGTGATATGTGTGCTTGTGAACGGCGTGCCCTGCAATGTATTAGGAGTTCTCTTGTGAAGTTAGGATGTTGGTGGTCACATTCCTTCATGCCTGGAGACTCCGTCAAAGGGCAAAAAAAAAAAAAAAGGTAGGCAAAAAATGGCTTTTATTTCTCAGGGAAGTAAGTAGAAAGAGGGTTAGTCCTGCACATACCTGCCGTAACCTGATCGCAAATAGGATCTCTTAACTCCAGGGAGGAAGGGGGGGGGGGAATAAACAAACCACATATTAAGCATAACACAGGATCAACCTCCATGTATAAGGTCAAGGTTAGACACGTTAGCTCTCATTGCATTTCATCCCTATCATCAGTAACGACTGACCCAAATCAATTAATGGTATCATCACACATGACATGCAGATGCAAAGACTTATAAAACCACTCTCTCAACAGAACGCAACAAAAATCCTCTCCAGTGCAAAAGTGACCACCAACGTCAGCTCAGAACAACTTTCATCCATACATGCTCTCAAACAGACGTATATCATAAACACAACATAACATGTCAGACATAGCCAACAAGCGCATCGTCCCAACTCGCTGTGTATCTTCAGAAGTAGGCAAGGTTGCCCCATCCTACCCCTTACATTCATCAAACATGTTCATAACAATCGTCAAGCTCATATACATTCATAAATAGAATATCATCCCAATCCCTTCCATCCCATTGAGAGATCCCATACCATCCATATATATCCATCCCATACGTTCCATGTCATGCCCAATCATTGCATGTACTCATTCATGAGAAATCATCATCCATCATGATCATCCATGAGTTAGTTCATGAGGGGTCAGATCATAAAAGAGAAGAAGAAAAGGGGGCATAATAAAGGAGATGATGAAACAAACAAACAAACAAACGAAAAAAAAAAAACAACGGCAGGTAAGGTCAGAGACTTGGAAAGTTGTCGTACTCCACCCAAGCTGGGTCTCTTCCAAGTCTGTACACCTCGTCAGGCAGCAACACCCAACCGGCCGGTGACTGACAAGCAAAGCCTGACTGATAAGCTTTAGAAAGACAAGCCTCAGCGGCTCAGTCCGACTCAGCATCCGACTCTCGCGGTTCCTACCGACGAAGAGAACCATGATTCCTTGCCAACCTTGCGCGCTGGTACTCTTGTTTTCGCTGCTGCCATGCCTGCTCTGGATTCGGAAGCGGCTGCTCCTGATGATATTCGGCTTGACGGTGCTCGACCTGACGTTGCGCGACAACTCGGTCCTCACTCCGGTGAGCATATTGCGCTTGTTGTTGAGGTCGTTGGGTGGGCTGCTGAAGCGGTTTCCGGGGTTGATGAGGTTGGGGAGGAGGCTGCTCTAGAAGCTGCTGCTGCTGCGACTGCACCTCCAACCTCCTGCTACTCCCCGACCGAATCACCTCCTTAACTCCATCTCTAACATCCTTCGGCCCGCTAATCATCTTCCTCAGCTCCTCTGACCTTTTCTCCCGCCTCCTCTCACTCAGCCGTCGCGACAAGTTAATCCTATCCCCCAACGAAGGCAGCAACCCGCCGCTGCCATTGCCATTCTCGACAGCACCATACCCATTGCCGTTGCCAACTCCAACTCCAACTCTGTTGTTAAACTCCCTCTCCTGCCTGCCTGTCCGCGACCTAGACCTCGCCCTCCCCGAACCCGCGCTCAGACTCAACGACCGCCACAACTTCGACGAGACACTCTCCCCAGCACGCTGGGCCTGCTGCAGCGGCGCTCCCGGAGCCGTATACGGACGCGGAAGCACCCCAAGCGCAATAGCAGGCTCATCCTGTTGGGGCAGCGGTGCCGTCAAATCATCCTGCTTCTCCAGGCTGCTGCGGTAGCGGATGACGCGGAGATTGCCCGAGGGCGTGCGACGGATCGTGCGGCGGTCGACGTAAGCCTCCTCGCCGTCCTCGTGCGACTCACTAACGTAGGAATCAACCTCGTCCTTGTCATCGTCGCGGATGGGAAGGATGGCAAAAGTCTTCTTGAGCTTCTTGCTCAGGCTGCGGTTCCGGGTAGGAGGGTTGCGGGGGCGGTGGGTGTGGGAGGGGCGCTCGTCGGCTGGGTAGTAATCCTCTTCGTCCTCGTACTCGTCCTCGTACTCGTCCTCGTAATCCTCGACATAGGTCGGCCTCCAGTGCGGGTGCAGACGAGTCTCGTCTTGGACATCGTCGGCGGTTGCGCGCCGCCTGATGTGCGGGGGCTTCTCGTCGTCTACCCAGGAATCGTGCTTGCGGCCGCGAAGGGAGAAGGCTCGAGCGAGAAGACTCGGGCCCGAGTCCGACTTGCTGCGGCGACCACGAGTGCCGAGGGTTTTCTTGAGAAGCGAAAGACCGCGCTTCGGCTTGTCGGCGGTTATTTCGTAGAAGTTGCCGATCTGGCGCTCCCGCTCTGTGGTGGTCGTCATGCCGGAGGGCGTGGCGGGTATGAGGTTGAGGGCCGGGGGCTTGGGCGGCGCCCGGGGATTGCAGAGAGGCGAGTCGACGTCGTTGACAGAGAACTGCCGGGGAGGCGTCATGGGCAAGAAGTCATCATCTACCTCCTGCTTTGCCTCAGAAGGCCTAGCCGAGTTGTCGACAAGCACAATCGACTTGCTCTGATGCGGATAGATGTTGACAGCCATGGCTTCGGTCACCTCCGCTTGACAGGACCCCGTGGTATCCACAGACACGACCGAAAACGGCGTGTTCTGCACGGCTAGATGCTTGTCGTCAAGGAATGGGTCCTCCAGACGGGTTTCGAGAACGTAGCCATTGGTGCTACGCGCATCCTGCTCGTCAATCTGCACGGCCTTGCCCTTGTCCTTGCGCGGGACTTCCTTAGCTGGCTGTGCCTCCTTACGAGCAGCCCCGCTTGTAGAAGGCAGCGGGCGGCTGTAGAGCCTATCCAGCTCCCGGCTAGCCTCCTGCAGGGCACGATGCGCCTGCTGCACCTGGAACAGGTTCTGAGCCTTGACGCTCTCGGCAGTCATGGAGTTCGCCCTCGACGGGTTGCGGCTGGTCGGGGCAGAGAGCGACGACGACCGCTTAGGGATCACGGGTGGATAGTCCATGGTGCGCTCGTCTCCAGGGCGGGATCCGTCCGACTCGGAGTAGGCCCGAGTGCGCCGACGGGGACGCGAGCTCGCTGTGGTCCGGGAACCGTCACTGCTTTCGGACCACCCTTGGCTGGTCGAGCCGACAGATGAGCGGCGCTCGGGGATCACGACGACCGGGACACCACCGCTGTTCCATACTTCGCGGCGAGCCTTGTGGCTGGCGAGAGAGCTCGTAGTGGCGGTTGAGAGCTGAGAATCACGTAGCTGGTGAAGCGGTCGTCCACGCGACTCTTCGCTGGTTGTCGTCAACTGACTATTTCGAAGAGAATCCCCCCGCCCGATCGAGCGCAGTGATCGCCTGTGCGACTCTTGCGCGGTCGTCGAGAGCTGACTGTCCCATCCAGAGTCGCTCAGCTTGGCCGGAGCGCGAGCTCTTGATTCGTCGGTCGTGGTCGAGGTTTGGCTAACCTTGGCAGGACTACCGGGCTTGCTTGAGTGAAGCGACTGGGGCTGCGATTCCTCGGTTGTCGTTGTCGCTGCCGATGTGGTTGCCGATACTTGAGAATCCCTTGCAGGCCCCAGTTTACTAGCAACATGAGACGAAACTCGCGACTCTTCAGTAGTCGTCGTGGTTGTCGATGTCCGACTATCCCTCTCAGTATCGCTCCACTTGGTGTGAACCGACCGACTACTCTCGGTCTTTGGTCCCTCAGAAGGCGAATCAGACCCAGAATCGCGCAGCGTGCTGTGCTTCTTCACGTGGCGCAGCGTCCTCCTGCGCTGAGGGACATTCGGCTCGATGAGGATGGCCTCAACGACCGTGGACGCAGTCGAGCGACTCGACATGACGGACGAGCGCCTGTGATCGGTGCTGCTGGACGTTTCCGACGCAGTAATCCTGCTGGCCGGGTCGGACACGACTCTGCGCGAGGAAGAGACGGGGCTCTCCTGCAACGGCATAGAGCGGGCAGGATTTGTCGCGTTGGCGGCCTTACCAGCGTCTTCGGTGCCTTCCTGGTTTGCTCCGGTAGTCGAGGGTGTTGGTCGCCGTTTTCTCACACTAACATTCCTTGAGACGCTTAACTGTCGGTCCAAGCTCTCGTTGCTGCTGCTGCCTGCCACATCAACCCCGCCATCGCTGGTCTCGCTGGTGCCCAGTGCTGCCTTGGGCGTTCTTTTTCCATCGGAACTCGACTCGCCCACGCCCAGGCCAGCACCACGAGACTCTTCACTTTCCCCGACCTGCCGAACGGTACTTTGCGACGTCTGCGTCGACATCAGAATAGGCCGCAGAGCATCGTCCTCCGTGAAGGAATGGTTCTCGAGGGCCGTCGCAAACGACTCCTCGGTCGTCGCCTTCGACAGCATCCGATCTATGGCCGCCGGACGAGGCTGGCTCGAGTGCGCGGCCCTACCTGGAGGCGCACGGTCGGGAGTGAGATTGGGGGTCGGCAGCGTCTGCTGGCTGTTGTTAAGAGGGGTCGCGGGAGACGTTAGGTCAATCTTCTCCGCACTACGCAACAGAGGCGCGCCGCCCTGATGAGGGACATCGAGGACCTGGCTGGCCGAGGAGGTCCGCGAGTGCACTGGCGGCGTCGGCGGCGGCGCTGGGCCGCTCGAAACGCGTCGCGGATGTTGGGGGCGGTATACGCTCGGCGACGCCCGCAAAGGCAGCTCGCCCGAGAGCTCGTACGCATGTGACGAGTACGGCGAGCGGGCGCGAGGAAAGTAGCAGTCGTCCCTCCTCGGATGCGGCAGCACTTTGTGCTTCTTGAACATGACCCGCGGTTGGCTGCTGCTGCTGCTGGTGTCGGGACGGGCCGTGTCGACAAAGGACATGCTGACAGGAGATGAGCCCATCTTGGGCAGCACCACCGTGACGTCGCTCGTCATGGCGGCTCTTGGAGAGGACTAACTTTTCCAGGACGAGGCAATCTATCTATCTAGAGTCGAAGGACGTCAAAGGCTGCGCATGTTGTCGTGGCGGAGCAATGCAGAAGAACCAGAGACGGCGGCCCGGCGACAGGATGCGCGGGGGCTCTGCACGCAGCAGCACGAAATATCTGTAAGGCTGCACGGGATGCCAGTAAAGAAGCAGGCGACAAACGAGGTTACAGGGCAGAGATGGACGTCAAGCCCAAAGGGCAGTGCCAGACCAGAGCCAGAGCCACAGCCAGTCAGAAAGACAGAGCGAGCGAGTCACGACGGCGACATGGACGAGAGGACAGGCCAGGAAGTTGGGACAATGTGAGACATCGACAAGTGGCCACGGGCCGCGGGGATGGTGCGCTGGATGTCCACAGAAGCTCGAAAGTCAGGGTCCTCAGGGGACAAGGGACAGGTGGCAGGCGGCTTTGTTGTCAAAAGGATGAGCAGGGTCAACAACTCATGCTGCTCGTTGCTGGACCTGCTCGCTGTTTCGCGCTCGCACTGCTGCTGGTGCTGGTGCTGGTGTGGCGGGAAGAGGCCCGCTCTGTGTGCGGTGTCTGCAGTCTACGGAGCCAACGTCGTTGAGTGGTTGGGGTCAGGGTCAGGGTCAGGGTCGGGGTCGGAGTCGGAATGGCTGGCGTGGTTGGCGATGATGCGTGATGCGGTCCGTCTCCAGGACGGCGACCAGGGTCAGCACGGTGAGGTGAGCTGTCTGGGCTTTTTTTTTTTTTGGTTAAGAAGTGAAAAAAAAAAAAGATTCACAGGCTTTTTGAGAACACGACGACAATGTCTCTGGCAGTACGAGCACGGATTACCCGTGAGGGGGGCACGCCGACGAGGGGCACAGCAAGCAAATCAAGACGCCTCAAGACAAAGGCATGAATGAACTTCAAGAGAAATCGAGCTTGCGAGCGCAAAAAATCGCACACAACAGCAGCGGAGACGCCGCGAGAGCTGCTGCAGCGTGGGCCTGACACAAAGCGCACGAAAACGGACCTGAGTCCACCAAACTCCTGAATGCCCTGCCTCCTTCCTGCGACTCGTCCACTCCAGAAAGGTCCACGAGATCAAAGCAGCCAGTCGGCAGGAGCAATGGAGGTCGGTCGCCGCACCACCGTAGCGTTGCGGCCTGCCATTGGTCGGAACGAGGTTAGGAAGGTGGGAGGCCAGGCGGCACTGGAAGGAGCAAAAGAAGATAAGCCCTACATCGACCGGACCCGCTCTGCTGCATTAGCCTGCTTTTGCTGGCAGTGCCGCGCTAGCTGCATACGAGTATGCGTCTATCAGGGGCATATCGTACGGGCGGGGCCAATCACCGCTCGGTACACCTTCGGCAGCTGCATCCGAATCGGGTCTCGAGAGCGCTCCTTCTTGCAGAAGTCTGCCTAGCAGGGCAGCGAGCACTCGAGCAAGTGCAACTGCAGATTCGAGACAGTGCGACTTTTTGGGCTTCGAATCAGCATTCCAGAAGTCCGAAGTTGGGGGGACTCGACTGACCATTCACATTGTGGTCGTGAGTTGGTTGGTTGGTCGAGCCGTCGAGAATCTTATCGGCTCGTCTTGGATGAGGAAGCTGTTCCGTCACAAAAGATTCGAGTTTTGGTCCCCATCAGTGTGACTCGAGCTTGTACCAGCGAACCCTTGTGCCGGTTAAGCTTTTTCTTTGATTTTCTTTGTATCTTCCATCCAATGAAAACAATGAATAATACACTTACAGCCCGACTCGACGTAATATGTCCCAACCCGACTCAACCCAAGTCAACCACCTCCCAAGGCAATATCCCACACACACTCCGTACGTCATCAACCCACTTTCGGACCGCTCACTCCAACAAGAATCCACAGCATTTGGTTTTCAGGGCCGCTGGTCTAGTGGTATGATTCTCGCTTAGGGTCCACCCTACAAGCAGTGCTTGCGAGAGGTCCCGGGTTCGATCCCCGGGTGGCCCCCAAGTGTTCGTCAAGTGTCGAAAGACACTGAGCAAATCTTTTATTGTTTGCAACTTGCACTTTTTTTTTTCTCAAGGCTTCATTCCCCCAGCTAGGAGCTTTGGAAAAGAAAAAGGCCGCTCAGCTTTCCGGTTCAGCTGGTAGCTCAGGAGAGACCCAAGTTGGGCTCCAACGTCATGTAATGGCTGAAAACTTCAGGTTTATTTCCTCCGCTGTAAGCACTCGTGGCTGGCGACGCTTTTTGTTGCGATTTTGCTGCTGTTTATTGCACATCGAGGGGCAGTTCCAAGCTGGCGGTTTGGCTCACGTTGGGCGGGGAAGGATCTGTCAGTTCAGGCTAGGGTTAGGGGACTTGCCTCAGCAAGGGTTCCTTTTAACCCAAACCTAAGCTTCAAAGTTCCTTTGACAGTTCCGTCAACTTCACCTCGGGCCCGGAAACGCATTCACAACTCAGCAGCAAGCCGACAAAGAACATATATCAATTTTCAGCAGCGGTTTTGAGACAATGACATTGACAGTCGCGGTTCGACACAGCCGGGGTCAACAGCCGACCCTTACTTCCCACGCTCCCATCAAGTCCTCGCTGCAACCACTCACCACAGGGCGGAGGCCGGCTCTTTGCATCGGAATCACCAAGTAGCAACCCATGAGAGGAGTCTGAAAAAAAAAAGGCAAAAGCTGCACACTTCCGTCGCCCCCGGGTTGCCGCAGACGCGGTGCTACCCAGAGCCCTACCCGCGTCGGCACTCGCCTTCACAACCTTAGTACTCTCCCGAGACACCGAGATTTCTCGGCGATTCCCCAGCTTGTGGTCAGCTCTTGGGCTTGCCGGTATCTTTCCGGAAACGGTCTGTTCGGGGAAAGGAGGGCAAATATGAGATTCGGCGGTTCATCATGCCAGCCCGTTTACTTTTGAGAGCCTGCCGAACCCGGCCTGGAGGATGACATAATAACCTTGAGGGAGACAATGGAGCTCCTTCGATTGTATGCTGGTAGATGTTTGCAAATTCGGGAGCGAGATTGCTGAAGCTCTTCGCCTGGTAGCCATTACCGTTCTGGGATGAGAGCACGCCATCTATGGCTATCCTCTACTGGGCCTCCCAGCAACGCTGTAGGCAGGCAGGTAGGTTTGGAGATGACATCACGGGGAAAGCAAGAGGTGAGGAAATTCAGGTAGGTACGTTGGGTGGAGACTTGGAAGTAGAGCTGTGTATAAAGTCTCGATGTAGAAATGTCGATGATTGTGGGCCGCCGTCTTGTCATAGCCATAGCCAATCGCTTTCTTGCCATTGTACTCTCTCCTTCGTTGGCATACGCTTCTTCCCTCACGTCTACCTCGACTGAGTCGAGGACCAGAACGAGGGCTTCCAGGGGGCCGACGAACATCAACACCAGTCCAGCAGTTGAGGCCCGCATACCAGTACCGGGACGAAGATTATCTCTAACGCGGAGACCAAAGATCATTCCCAAGCACCTACACCCACACATTGACAGTAACGTCTTCGGCAAAGTCGTGGCATCATCATCGTGATCATCACCTGTATGGGCCAAGGACTAAGCCGAAGCCGACTAAGACGGAGATGGTTGTAGTGCCAGTGGTTACGACGAGGAAGGGACTAAGGAGGATGGAGGGAGGTGTGGTTGGGGCTTCGGCTGTTGCAGCTCTCTTCTAAGGGAATGGGTTGGGATTTGGGGCTCAAGTTCTGTGTCTTCTGTTTTCAGGCCTGGACAACTTTTTTTTGTATTAAATCTATTAAATATGGGGAAGGCAATCATTGTGGAGGAGGAGGATTGTAGCAGGTTTTCATTGCAGGACGAAGATAATGGGATCTGCTTGGGTAGGTTCTCCAGTGCTAGCGTCATATCTGAAAATTCAGTTCGCTTTCAGACTTTTAGTGCTGCTGACCTTCAAGGTCTACTTACCGGTCTCATTTACGAACGGACATGTTGACATGACCTGTGCGGATGATTGTCGATATCCTCTCGCTTCACGGCTGGCTTTTCTTCGAGGGTAGCCTTGCATGCCCAGGCAGAGACCTTATCGCTGAAATTACTCCACTTCACCACTTCACCTCGAGATCCATTCACTAACCAAGCCCTCACATCATCAACCTCAACTTTCAAGTATCGGAGTCTCACCAGCCGTTACAACCTACCTATCTGAACACTTACTCACAGACACATACCAAACATGTCTGAACCAAGCCCAAACCCAATCCTGTCTCTCCCTGATGTGCACACCGCATTCGCGGCCTTCCAAGACGACCCCTTGGTCCAAGCAGTAACTGCCTATGTCAAGGAATACATGAAGCGCTACGACGCCTCCCACAGCTGGGACCATGTCGAGCGCGTCGTGGCCATGGCGCATCATATTTACGAGCATTCCCCACATGAGTTAAAAAACAAGGCCGATCTTAGGACGGTGCATCTCGCGGCGCTGGTGCATGATGTTGGGGATCATAAGTGCGTTTCTTTTCCTATGCAACAGATTTCTTTTCTTTTCTTTTCTTTTCTTTTCTTTTCTTTTCTTTTTTTTTGTCTTCTTTATGACTTACACCGTTACGCTCTCACTCCAGCTCCGGCTTGGGATTTGGGCTGTGTCTGAGGGGAGGTGGCGGTTATGATATTTGTGTGGGCTGTTGTTGGGCTAACGTGGTTTTAGGTACCGCAAACCAGAAGAACCTCTCCTCCCCCTGTCAGAACTTCTCCCCCAGATCACATCTCCCATCCCTTTCCCAGCAGATCTAGCTCAGAAACTTCAAACTATTATCCCGGCTATAAGCTACACTCACGAAACCCGCCATCCTTCCCAAACTCTCTCCCTGATAATACAACATCCCGAACTAGCCATAGTTCAAGACGCGGACCGGCTCGACGCAATGGGTGCGGTGGGAATAGGGAGGATGTTTACTTACGGGGATGCTAGAGGCAACTCTGATGGGAAAGGGAGGAGTCTTGCTGAGACAATGAAGCATTTGGACGAGAAATTGCTGAAGCTTGAGGGGATGATGAAGACTGATGTGGGGAAGGAGGTTGCGAGAGTGAGGGGGAGAGGTTGAGGGTTTTTAGGAAGTGGTGGGTTGAAGAGGCTGGGATGGAGGAGGAGGAGGAGGAGGAGGAGGAGGAAGAAGGAGGAAGAAGGGAGTCGGTAGTGAAAGGGGAAAAAAGGGGGGGTTCTATACTTTGGGAGGATAGAGAGGGATGGTTTTGAAAAGGGGAGAGACAAGACTAGGGGTTAAGGAGGTTGAATGGGCGAATGAGAGTATGGGAAGAAGCAAGTTGGCCAAGAGGGGGGGGGGGCCACTTAGACGGGTCCTTGATTGTCAACCTATTATGAGTCCGATCAGAGCCGTTACCGATTTCCGACAGATGAAGTGAACCTTGAGCGAACTTAAAACAAGCTCTAAACTACTGTCTTATCGCCAACACGTCTGTCACCGGCAGAATGGTTTAACGAAATCAGACATCAACACACACGCGGCTGTGCCACGAGAGGGCATGATGATCCGGGTACATGAACTTGTGGCTTGAAATTTCCAGACATTGATGTCCTTCGCGAAGGGTTTATTGAGATGAACATGAGATCTTTAACCAGAACAAAAAGAAAACCTTGCCATATATCTGAGGTTTTTGAGCTGTCTACACTGCCTTTGTTTTGGAACCTCGAGCTTTTGCTGTGATGTATGATAACCAGGTATACTCTGAAGCATGCTTCGTATGTCAACCGATCATGGCCAACCATAATTCAGACAATAAGCCAGAAACCTCTTCCCCGGGTCTGACATCCTGAACAAATCACACCGGCTGAACCGTCATCAAGCATCGAGCCCCTCATGTCAAGCTCTGCCAAGGCCTAGATTGCCACCCTTGCATTTGTTGGCAGCCCAGATGCAGATTGACGCCGACAAGGGTGGCTATCCCTTGTACGGACGATATCGGATTGACATGACCTCCGCACCAAGACGGAGGAGCAAGGATATTCGGACGTAGAAGGGCCCGAACATATGCACTATGGTAGTTGGCTTCATCCACCTGAATGTTGGTATGTAGCATATAATTTTTGGTGCTGTAGGATCTCTAGAATAGACCAGCTGACAGTCATACATACATACTTACTTACCGTTGCCGCCGGAGCTACTGCGTAGCTATGTAAGCTGCAAAGCTGCATGCATTAGATCAACCACTACCATTACGATTCAGCGGGTTGTAGTGTTGCATATAGTCTTTCGGACTTTGCATCCTATGCAGCTGAAGTCTGTCCGGTCCGAAAAGGTCACGGAGGATGACACTGTTGCTGAGGGAAGGGGAAGGGGGGGGGAAGGTCAACGTAGTTGAAGCGGGGAAGGGCAGTCGCACTGAAATGGATGGTCGTTTAGAGAACCATGCAGACAGAGATCGGACGGCAGGAGGATTGAATGAATGTCACTGGCTGGGATGTTGTGTAACAGGCTGACCGCCTTCACTTGACCTTGACTTGATTATCCCATTAGGGTTCAAAGAGGGGGTTGAGATGCCCGTTAGGGTTCCGTCATTATCAGGGTGTACAAGTTACGTAGTGTAGAAATGAAGGGTACCTGGTGGCTGTAGTAGAACAAGATATGAAATCCCAATGGTTCTTGTCCAGCATTGGTATAGTTCGTGAAGGCGTGATCATAATGATATTGAAGTGGTGTGCCCGGGAAAGGGGAAGTAGCCTGTTATGCGGCCCAGGCCATGTTGCCACTTGATTCTGTGGAACTCGAGATTGTGACCCCTGACAAGCCAGGGAATTCGACCTGTAACTGTAAAAGTTTGTCATCATTTGTTTGCTAAAGTTGAGGCTCTTAATCGGTTTTTCTGTCTTCTTCGTGCTGTCTCATACGACACTTCAACCGGGTCCAAATGGCCAACCACCCGTGCGAGAAGTTAGCGGTTTTTGACAAGCTGAAGGGAAATCTTGACAGCTCGCAAAAAAAAAAAAAAAAAAAAAAAAAAAAAAAACTAGGATTCTGTGGCGGGAGAATACAGCAAAACTATTGGCGGCTGGCGACGGCGTGCATGAAGTATTGTCGACAGAGATTGATGACAGAGCATCTGAAGAGGCAAGAAGGCGCACCAGGCTCACAGTGTGATGAAGTCGACGGAGCGGGGTTAAGAGCCGGCTGGCTACCCATGATTGGCCAATGGCCTGTCGCATTTAGACGCCAGGCTAGTCCTAAAGAGGTTTAGCGTTTGTGATCGGCGGCGATCACCCAACCGTTGTGCGCGGGGCTGGTCTTGGCTTTAGCTTGACTTCAGCTTGGGTGGGCCATTTCTCTCTCTCTGTGCCGTGTGTATCGGTCTTGACTCTTTACTTTCTTAGAGTTTCCCACTGTTGAATCCCACTTGCTAGCCGCCCATCTTGCAGAATGCTGCATCAAGACTACACATGGTTATGAACCACCCATGCTCGGCCTGCCCAAAAATGGTAGGTTTGATGGTAGCTGGCTGATGCTGGCTGACTGCGAGTGCTGGGAAATTCCGTACGACGGCAGAATGATTCCCCTCTGTGTCCGGTGAGGTGGGCCATACCGTATATAAAAGCCATCTGTTTGCACCCTTCTTGTCCTTTTTCTCTCTTTTCTCTGTAGCAAGCACTCAAGCTTCAACCAGCTGTGTTTTTGTTCGTCTTTTTTTTTCCGTTTTCCTCTTACTCGTATACAGAGCTGTGCTCTGTTCCATAATCTCCCCTAATACGAAAAAATATCACAATCTAAGGTGTAGCTTGCCGGTCTTGCTACTCCTACTCCATACACGCCTAATTCACTTCTGCTCTCAAAAACACACTGGTTAATCGTACTTGCTCGGCGCTCTTGACGCAGAGATTGATTGCTCTCGCAGACGCCTCCCCTCCCTAATCATCATCAGCATCGGTTCGGTCTGAGAACCAAAAAAAAAAAAAAAACAACCAAAAACCAAAATGTCGGCCATCCAGCTCTCCTTCTCTCTCCGCGTCTCCTCCGGTGTCAAGACCGTCCATCTCCTCGGCTCGTGGGACAACTACACCAACCAGCTTCCCCTGAGCAAGGACAAGTCCTCGTCCAAGGGCACTTGGAAGGGCACTTTCCGCTTCCAGCCTTCTGTCCTCCAGCCCGGTCAGCGCTACTGGTACTATTACATCATTGACGGCTACCACGTCGCCCATAACCCCAGCGAGGACTCCACCATCGAGCCGACTACCGGCCGTGCCCTCAACATCCTGGACGTTCCCGAGTCTTCCAAGTCTTCTTCCCGCACCTCCCGCGAGAGCACTGCCTCCTATAGCACCTCGGACCCCGGTGACGAGGAAATCGCCAAGGGCCGTCCGCTTTCTATCTCCCAGATCAAGGCCCCCCAGCCCGTCAACCCCAAGGCCGCCCGCCACATCCTCGACGCTGACTTCGACGAGGAGGAGCTCAGCGCCCACTTCGCTGCTGCTGCCCTCACTGATGACGACTGCTACTATCTGGACGAGTCCGACGAGGATGCCGTCTATCCGGGCTTCGACACCCCCAGAAGCCGCGCCTCGTCCGTCAGCAGCTCGCTTTCCTATCGCTCCGACTCGTCGGCTGGTCATTCGTCGGGCTACAGCACCCCGGCCTCCGAGTGCTCCTCTTGCATCTGCGAGCGCTACGGCATCACCCGTCGTGGCGAGCGCGTGCGTCTGGACTGTGGCGGCTCCCGCTGCTCATATGACGATTCTTGCTCGTCGTGCTCTGACTCTGAGCCGGAATACGTTGAGCGCAGCTCGCGCCGTCATGGTATTGTTGTGCGCCACTGCGTGATGCGTCGAGTTTTGCTTGAGGGGGGGTGATAGCCCTCGCGGGAAGAAGCCTTTTTTTGTTTCGCCGCTCTCAAAGAGCTCGAAGACTTGGGTCTTAAACGGTCCAAGCATGAGCTGAGCGAGGTTTTGGACGCCACAGGCAGTTCAACCTTATCTAGATCGAGTCCGTCCGTTAAAACTGAAAAGAGGACTGCCTAGCCAGTTCCACGGACGCAGAGAGACTCATGCCGTTCACTTTTTTGGTTGTTGAAAGATACAACTCTCACCCTAACCAGGGCGGTTGAGATGCCCGTTGCCAGGCCTGTCCTTCACCCTCTCGTGGCACGCCCTTCAAACCTCCGACACCAACAGCCTGGCTGTGAGATGGAAGTCAGCTGGTCTGGTCTTTGCTCCCTCAGCACAGTCTTGCGGTGTCAGGCTTGGGGCAGTTCCCGTCGGGACAGACTTTAGGAGTTGGGCTTGTCTCCCGCCCGTGCTTAGTCTCAGCGATACCGACCGTATGCTGCATCCGGCAGCGGCGGTGTTCTGTAATGTTTTAAACGTCAACGTTGTGGGATGTGACAATCTCATGCGTCTTTTTCACCGATCCGCTCAAGACAGTATCAATGTCTCAGACTATTGACGACAAGGTTGGGTGCTGGTTCCTCCTGGTGAGGACCAGTCCTGCTCGACATTATCGACCAATGAAGACGGTGTCTGATTGAAACTGTCTTCGGTTTGACAAACCCCTTGGGGCCAGCTGCGTACAGAAGTTGGTCTCACCAGAGGGGGGACATTTGGATGTCAAGTAATGGCATGGATTCTGGACTGTTAGAAAGGGTCACCAGCCAGCTTTGGATACCACGATGTCAAGTGGGCAGCATGAACGAGAGAAAGCCCAAGACAATGGTAGATTAGGTGGTTCATTCGAAGAACACCACAAAATAGTGGATCAGTCAATGAGGTTCATGTAGCTAGCATTGTGTGGGCTGCCTAATTGTTGGTGCTTTTCGCTGTCTGCTTGTTCTCGATCGTGTCAATGTGGTTTGGAACGGACCGGAGAGACAAAAAAAAGAAGCCAAGTTATTGCGATGAGTAGAGGACGGTTGAATCTATTTATCGTCATTAAATTGAGTGCGGTTTTGGATGTGTGAATGTGACTATGAATGCTCTCGTAGAGAAAAAAGACATGTATATCTTGCTTCAATGATCTATCCAATGCTCATTTCCGATCCTACACATACCCTACTCTCAGTACTGGAAACACGAGGATATATATGCTATCTTCCATCTTCTGAGCGAGCTGGATTCATTGATGATGATTCTTTTCGTCCGGGACCTCATTCTCTATGCCCGTCAAACTTTTTTTTTTTTTGTAATGTGCCATGATGAGCTCAGAACAATGCATCTTAATTTACAAATTTCCCAATTTTTTTATAATTACCTGCCTTTGCTTTCCAAAACTCATGGATGGGTAGACAGACGGAGAATCTTCCCATCCAGCTCGCACAAAATGGTAGCCGAGGAATTGACATATGGGGAAACTGATACGAGCCGTATGTTGGAGGTATGTGCAGCATGTCCACAAGTGATGGCGTCACATCCCTCGGGATCTCGGTCAAAGATTCTGCCATTGGGTGTGGAACCTTGATAGCCGATTCGTGGGGAAAGAGATCGGATACTGTGTAGAACAGTAACAGGATAAGCAAGCATATCAGAACTTGGGTGAGATCTGAGATCTTCCGGCTCCTGTAGAGAGGCCCAGTTGGTGGAGTTGGCTGCTGAGAGCTTCCTGAGCTGGATCAAGAAGCCCTGGAGATCATTTCGATCCCGTTCACCTCCAATATATATCCAAAATGAAGGAGCACCAATGACATGCACAGAGATGAGCAAAGCCAAAAAAAATGGGAGTAGGACGAAATGTTGACCATCAGCGGATATTCACCCTATGTCATTATTCTCTCTCTCTCCCCACTCCGTATCAATATACCACACATCCCCTCTCCTTACTCCACCATCACCTCCTCTAACACCCTTCCTCTCCCTTCCCCATGATAAACTGAAACACTCATCCGTGAAAACCGAGGAGTATCGAAAATGCATGCATCGTTGGCATTACAAACAAGAACCTGATAGACAGACAAACGGGAAAGAGAAGGTTGATTGTCGAGTTTGAATTAGAGCTTGGCCTCAGCCTTGACCTCGCCAACCTTCAGCTTGGGTCCGTACTTCTCGAGGACGTGCTTGCCGTGGTACTTCCAGAACTGCTTGGAGGCATCCTTGCCGGCGACGCGCTTCAGGATGCGGGAGCCGCCCGGGTGCTCGTCGAGGAACTCTGTTACAGGCTGATTAGTACCAGCAACTTATCCGCCGTGAAGGTTGATCGTCCAGTGAGATGATGGGGAAGTTGGGATGAACAGATGATGAAAGAAGTTGGAGTCCGAAGTGGATGTGCAGTGGACACGCCGCGCCACGAACGCCACCCAAGCGCCGCGGTTAGCCTCGGGATCCACGGGTGTATAGTTCCGCGCCTGCAAGACAGACCGCAGACCGCAGACCGTAGACCGCAAACCGTAGGCAAACTATCGCGATGAAGGCGCTCGCGGGTAATGTGTCGTCGTCGAAAGGGGGGGGAGGGGGGGGAAGAGGACTCGAAAGGAGGGAGGGCGACACAACGTACTGGTAACATCATAAACGCCGTTATCAACAATGATGTAGATCCCGTTCGCCTCGTCCTTGTGCTGGGCGACCTCGGCCTTGGTGAACTGCTTGGACATTTTGGCGGGTTGTGTTTGGTGTTTTGGTGTTGTTTCTGGGTGAAGCTTGTGATTCGATTGACGGGTTGATTAGATGTTCGCGATAGCGATTGGCTTTTGCCGTGGCAAGTCACTGGCCTTTATCTTGTCTTGGGAGAAGGTCGTCACCTCAGAACAGAAAGTCAGGCCCAGGATAAGGATAAGCCGTTAACTTATATCCAACCCAACGGAAAAGAGTTCGGATGAAGGAAACTTTAGTAATCCTCGAACGCCGAGTGGATAAAGTAGAGAAAAAGAAGCGGGCGCGATCTTAAAAGCCGGGGTCCAACTCCAACAGCCAGTTTCAGGCCCGTGCCTTGTGCCTTGGACCTCGGCTCAGTTGTCTGTCTGTCCGACACCATAGTTGGGGAAGTGGGGCTTGTCTGGCGCCAAGACTTCGCCTCAGCGTAGGCAGAGGAAGGGTTGGGGTTACAGTGCTCGTGATCTGGGCCAGCCTTGAGCCGAGCCGCCGCTCTATCCCCCGCATAAAAATAATGCGGGTTGAAGTTTGTGGCAGACGAACCGTTGGGCTGTGCTTCAGCCGTTGCTGCTGTGACGTGTTGTGCTCGGGGGTTGGATGAATCGGGAGATTTGTTGATTTCAGGGGCTGTTCTCCCCGTATACCATAAGACCATAAAGACATGTCTATACTTTAAAGACACTACATAATGATCACCCAAGATACAGACACAACACAGATCGCTTACTCTAAATAAGTACAAGACAAAAACAACAGAATGCCAACCCAATGCCGTTTACGCCAAGAAAAAACAATACACACACTTGTCCTCATCTCAGACCATCTCAGCACTTACCTACTTTCTCTCTCTCTCTCTCTCTCTCTT